GGTGGTTGTTGGGGATGAAAATATCTTATGTGAACATCATCTGTGGATGCAACGAACTCCAGTAAGACGATTTGATCCATATTTACAGGTAAAATGGTTGAAAATTGCGCAATTCGATTTGTATTTCGCGCAAATTTGAGTACGTTGGCGATCCATCGCAGATGCGTTGGGGACCAACTGGGACAGATCGCCAAGCGTTGTCAGTTGCAACCGGAGACTACGTTGCAGGTAGGTAAGCGGGATATGAGAACCAGGCTTAATGGACTACCCCTGAAAATAGAGCTTATCGCAGTTTTCAACGCCATCTTGACGGGTAGGCAAAGCGGTCAGAAATTACAGCGTTTGTATGGGAATCCGATGACAAATAACATTTTCCAAAATTGAATTGGGTGGTGCAGGATGAACATATGCGGAAGTTACGTGTACAGTAGCAGCTCACAACATCAAATAGTACTCATTTGGAACAGTATAGGCCTTATCACGGTTTTCGACACCATCTTGATGGGTGGGCAAGGCGGTCAGAAATTACAGTGTTTTGTATGGGAATCTGAAGGCAAATAACTTTTTCCAAAATTAAATTTTACACAATTTGTGAATCAAAATGTTAAAATTCTAGGTGGAAGATTGTATTCACCAAGTTTGGAGGATGTAGCTTGGCCAGAAGATGCTCAGTTAATTTTCCAATTTTTCATACATTTGTCTGTAATTTTTTTTCCTGCCAACCGCATCTAGATATCTGCCTACCCAGCCAAATTTTATTCACAAATGTATGGAAAATTAACTGAGCATCAGTTCTAGCCAAGCTACATCCTCCAAACTTGGTAAATACAATCTTCTACCTAGTATTTTAATGTTTTGATTCACAATTTGTGTAAAATTTAATTTTGGAAAAAGTTATTTGCCTTCAGATTCCCATACAAAACACTGTAATTTCTGACCGCTTTGCCCACCCATCAAGATAGTGTCGAAAACTGTGATAAGGCCTATACTGTTCCAAATGAGTACTATTTGATGTTGTGAGCTGCTACTGTACCTATAACTTCTGCATATGTTCATCCTGCACAACCCTTGGCCACCAGTTTCAATAAGTTTACTTAAAAAACAAAATTTAATGCTGAATACAAATTAAATGGTCTAAAAAGCGTACACACAAACAAAATTTAATCATTTGATTATCAATCAGCTGTACCAATCAGTGTCAGGATCATACGTTATATACTGTAGCCAAAATCAACAACTTGAAAAGGCATAACTGTGTTGAAAATTATGTAAGTTAGGAACACAGTGTAATGTTTGAGTTAGGAAATATAGCAAAAGGTAACTGAAGATGTCACACAGTGCTTGTCAATCTTATTCCATGTAATCCAGTCAACCACTGCACATGCACAAGCTAAAAATGGTTAGATAGGAGATGACTAGAATAATGGCTGAATAGTCAACCTTCCAGGAACAATTCATTCTGTAATGATTAAGATCATTTTGACATACCGGTAAATAACAAGTTAGTGAACATTCAGTTTCTTATCCATCTATTAATAGCCCTTAATTGTTCAAAAATAAAGTTGCAAGCAAACAGCCTGAATCCAAATGTTTACAACACATTTGAGGAAAACAATGGTCACTGTCGCTAAATTAAGTGGAAAAGCAATTTCCAGTCATTTTTAGTGGCAGGTCCAAGGGGCATTCAAAAGGGGAGGGGGAAATTTTGACCCTGACAATAATTTTCAACTGTAAAGTAGAGTGGGGGTTACATTACTAGAACTGGATCTAGCTTTGCATGTTGCAGAGCAATTAAAATGGACATAATTTTGTCATAGTCACCAGAATAACAAGTTTTCTCACACACAACAGCTGGTAGCCATATCAACCTGACTGCCATTTTTCATTTATTTCGTTTTACTCGGCCAGTGAAAAAGTACTCTAAAGTCAGAGTATCCTGAGCCTGGAACATTGTACACAATACCCCTAACTAAGTCATGGTAATTTACTGCACAATAGGGATCCACTTGTTTATTTTGTGTTCAGTGGTTCCAGGTCTAAAATAAGCAAGGTATAGCAGCTTACAACTTTAAATGCTACTCATCTGGAATATTACTTTTATGGGTAGTCCATTTGGTTAGTCCATTATGGTAGTCCATGGACTGGGGGTCAGTGTTTTGTCCATCATCCAACATTCATCCCTCCCCAGGATCTCATCCCCATGCAAAATGAGGACATTTTTCTCCAAACGTGGGGCCCACTGATGGGCCTTGGCATGGCAGTGCTGGCCTGTTGATTAAAATGTTATGTTTCAGCTACTAAAATTGCATTTTCTGACATTTCAGATTGTCATTTTTGCAAGAATGTCTTCCATTCTTCTGGTATTCTTTTTCAATGCATTGATGTGGACATTATTTGTGAAGTCTCTGAGAGGATCGATGACTTAAGCTACAGCAACTGTGACAAATACAGGCTCAAACTTCATTTTCACTGTGAGTGCAGATATAAGTATGAGTACTGTAAGCCTCTCTAAAGTTTCAAAGATGACTTCATTATGGAGAACAAGTTCCGTAATTTTTGGGAAAATCTTAGTTGAAGCTTACTTAAAATTTGGGATTTTTAATCCAATCAGCTAATCACTCATGAGTTATCCTAAGTTGGTAAGGCCATAATCATGATGTGGTCAGTTGCTTGGCAACTTCTGGATTAATTTGAGTGTGGGGGACTGGAAAAAAGCAAGCACATGTTCCTCCTGTTAGCTGAGATTGAATTCTGTAAATTGACCAAATTAAGAAATAATGAGCTCCATTCTTTCCTTCAAATATGTTTGCCCTGGTTTGTGATTATATTTTTTGACAATGGAAAATAAAAGTGTTCAATCCAGAAAAGTTATGTAATTATATATGAATATGGGAAGAAAACACTTCTAAGTGCAGAACCCCCACACCTGATTTTGGGCTATCCCTGGGTTAAAAGCTGTCAAAGCTATTGATGGATCAAGTTATATGCCCACCTTTGTTGTATACCAAATTGCACTTGTTTGAACACAAATGTGAAAGATCAGTTCATCGCTCTGACAGCTGTTTGGAAAAGTTCACAGATGAAACACTGTGGAGAAAGCTCTGTAACTGCTTGACAATGTCACACCAACAAACTGAACTTGTGACTTTTGTTTTGATTTGTTGCTAAGTGATCTAATTATCTTCATCTCTTGAATTTCAAAACTTGTGATTAAATTGTTTCTGGTACACATGCACATGGGTGAAACGATCTTCTGTTGTAATTTTCCAGCAAACTCAGGAACAACAAAACATGGCTATTTTGTGTTATTCAATGCAACTCGAGTCTTTAGTGTCATAGGGAGCTCGACCAACAAGGAAATTCGGTTTCACTGTACAGGAGTTCTGATGGAGTCTCAGCCTACAGAGAAAGTTGTGTTCATTTGCATAAATTATCTGATCACTCCTGGCTACGCTATCACTCATTAATCACAGATGATCAACTAGTAACTCATTTGCATAAATCTCATCATCCCTACAACTCCTTCTAGCTAAGCTATAACTCGCTAAAAAGGAAGAAGGCTGCTTGGTTAGAGTTGAGTAGGTGACCCTCTCATAAGTACGAGTAACCAAATAACAGTCTATTTTTATATCTGATGTCCATGGTATACTATTTCAACTCATGCATTAAGATAAATGACTAATCATTGGTTGAGCTGGACACTGTTAGTGTTGAGACTTTAAGATGTATGTATTGAAATTTCATCAAACTACAGCATTTTGGATCATTTTATGTATGTATTTTTGGCATGTAATAAGCCAGTGAAACTACCACCAGGAAGAGAATGTGACTCAAAATTTAGACCCCTGTAATGTCATCTGTCATGAACAACAATCTCCAGTAACCAATCAACCAGGTCAGACACATTGCGTGGCCAGTCACAGGAACTTTGACTTTGCATGCCAGAACTCCAGTGCCAACCTCTTCAAATGATAGTACCGCAAGTTAGGAATTCTAAAGCTAATGATGCAATTTAAGCAATCAAGGACTTTAAAGGCTCCGTACTGAAAGAGCGTTATTTCTTGCAGGCCCTGTTGGGTTGCTTGCTGTTTGGCGAGGCATTGTCTGCGAGATGGTGGTTAGGCACACCTCTAATTCTCACAGGATTGGTTTTGATTCATTATAACAGTGTATCCTTAACTGATGACCACCTTCATGACAAGAAAGAATAACTAACAAAGGCTTATGTTTGGTGGCAATGCAACCCCCACTGTATGAGTATAGAAGTGTATTAGGCCTGCACTGTTGGTATGAGAAGAGCAAAAAGGATTGTCTTTCTTGGTGGCCTATTGCCTTCACCAATCAGATACATGTATATTACATGATGGGTGGTATTCAGAGATATAGCAAGCTTTGTGCATGCCATCTGACAACTACAAAACTGTTTCCACCTACATGGCTTCCACACAAGAGTTTACATTTGTCGGTATCTCTGTTCAACAAGATCAAGTCACATTTGTTTGTGGTGTTGTGAAGCAGGTCACTGTGAAATCAAAGGTGACTGCCAAAACGGAAAGGTTTTTTATCAGCTTTCAGTTTCTTTCAAGGATCTGTTATAATGATTGTGCATCAAATCAGGAAAGCAACATCGTAATGTTGACATCCCAAGGGTGACATTTTGTAACTACTGCATTGTCTCTGTATCGTGTAAACACAACTCAATGTCATCTTCTAAAAGTGAGACTTGACAGCTTGAAGATTGAATTAAAAAAGGTTTCTTGGTACACTTGCCTCTACATTTTGAAGATATCCAAATCAAACCCCATGCACTAGATATAAGGACAGTCATAATAGACCATTTTACAGTTGTCTGCTCAGTGACCTGGCCTTTGTATGGCAGCGAGGCTAGAGTTGACCTTGTTTTGATACAGACCTCACTGCTTTTNCAGAAAATATCCACATACTCCTCCAACACAAGGGACTGGAATTTCCTGGGGGAAGGGGTCTGTAAGACCAAAAAAATAAAAGAAATGTACGAAGCTTGATTGGAATTTCCAGAGGGGTGGGCATGGGGGAAGGAAGTGCTTATCTCTTCTGTGGCATAGGACTGTGGTGGAGATATGGATATTTTCTGTAAGTACACATTTCCAATACGGGTAGAATGGATGGGGACTTAACTTTGTCTGACCTGAACAAGGTAAAAAGGAATTTAAAGAAGCTGGATGGCAAAAGTACCCCATATGACCCACGTGCCAAATAATCTTTCCGTTTGTTTCCTTCTGTGCCCAATCCCACTCGGCTGCGCGTAGAATGCCTGGGAGATATCGTGTCTGGTGCTTTTTTTACCACCATTTGTTCATGCTGTTTCTGCTAGACTTTGTGCAGCTCTAGCGTCCACTTGCGCAAAGTTAGCCATGTCTCCGGAGCTACAAAGGAAGTTTTGGTGCAATTTTTTACTTCAAAGTGTTTTTGGTGGCTCCACGCTTACGTCGCTTTGTCGCACGGTTAGTTCTTTTATTTCCCTGTTCTCCATGTCTTGTGCAAGTTCATACCTCAGCAAAATAGTTGTGATAGAAGAGGATACATACGCAGAGGGTTTGATCACTCAAAAAAGCCTTTTAAAGTGAAACAGTCCAACAGCGAGTACAAGAACAAACGGAATCCCACGCAGTCTATTGGCGAGCTATGGACAAAACACTGACTCACAGTCCATGGACTACCCTGAAGCCTGGTTCTCATATGCCACTGACATATGGGGGACATAGCTGCCGGCATGGCCTGGGACACTGCTACGGCATATTTGAACATTTACCGCTGAATCATAATCTGTCCCAGGCATTGACTGCCAGCTTGCCCGTGCAGTTGAGTTGAGTTCAACTTTGCTGGCAAGCCGGTGGTTGTTGGCAATGAAAAAATTTTATGTGAACATCATCTGCGGAGGCAACATACTCCAGTAAGACAATTTGATCCATATTTACAGGTAAAATGGTTGAAAATTGCGCAATTCGATTTGTATTTCGCACAAATTTGAGTACGTTGGCGATCCATCGCAGATGTGTCAGGAACCCACTGGGACAGATCGGCGCCGAGCATTGTCGGTTGCAACCAGCAACTACATTGCAGGTAGGTCAGCGGGATATGAGAACCAGGCTTAATGGACTACCCCTGAAAATAGACCTTATCACGGTTTTCAACGCCATCTTCATGGGTAGTCAAAGCGGTCAGAAATTAAAGCATTTATATGGGAATCCGATGACAAATAACATTTTCCAAAATTGAATTTTACACATTTTGTGAATCAAAACGTGAAAACTTCTAGGTGGAAGATTGTATTCACCAAGTTTGGAGGATGTAGCTTGACCAAAAGATGATCAGTTAATTTTTCCAATTTTCCATACATTTGTCTGTAATTTTTTTCCTGCAAACCGCATCTAGATGTCCACCTACCCAGCCAAATTTTACACACAAATGTATGGAAAATTAATTGAGCATCAGTTCTAGCCAAGCTACATCCTCCAAATTTGGTAAATGCAATCTTCTTAACATAGTATTTTAACTTTTTGATTCACAAATTGTGTAAAATTCAATTTTGGAAAAAGTTATTTGCCTTCGGATTCCCATACAAAACACTTCTGACAGGGTTACTAGACGTGTAATTTCACTATTTTAATATTTCTAAATATTCAAAGATTTCATTGCTTTGCTTCATAATTTTGTGTTCAGGAATTTTCCGGTTTTAGTTTACTAGGTAAACCTATGCATAGTTTCGGTATGTTTCTTTGGGTGTGCTCAAACCACAAATAGTTGTTAAAATGCATTAGTGCAACCAGGGTTTTTGCGGTTACCTTTCGGCAAACCGTTTTAATCGCTAAAAGTTAGCTTATCGCCTTAAGATAATGAAATTATGCAAAGGAAATCCTTTCCCGCATGTTTAACTACGGAAGAAGTGGTTAGGTTGGCTTGGCAAAATCAATTTTCAACATCTTGGTACGTGCTATATTGTGTTCCCCTACTCGTCACTTTGGTATAAAAAAGAGACAGTTTTAGCTTGTACTTCAGTTGAGTTTTGGGAACCAAAGAGATCGACAGAACAGCACTGCAGGAGAAGATAAAGGTCAGACTTGCTTCTAGCAAGGTATAGTCTATTAGTCGCTCCCATTTATTTTACTTTGCTGTGTTAGTTTGCTGATGAATTTGGGCTTTTAATAAACTGCTTAAGGGAAAATCCTTGAATCCTTCTCATTCCTACTCACACAGCCACCATGTCCAGTTACACACTGTAATTTCTGACCGCTTTGCAATTTCCAGTCATTTCTAGTGGCAGGTCTAAGGGGCATTCAAAAGGGGAGGGGGAAATTTTGACTCTTACAATAATTTTCAACAGTAAAGTAGAGTGGGGCTTGCATTACTAGCACTGGATCTAGCTTTGCATATTGCAGAGCAATTAAAATGGACATGTAATTTTGTCATAGTCACCAGAATAACAAGTTTTCTCACAAACCACAGCTGGTAGCCATATCAAGCTGACTGCCATTTTTCGCTTATTTCATTTTACTCAGCCAGCAAAAAATTACTCTAAAGTCAGAGTATCCTGAACCTGGAACATTGTACACAATACCCCTAACCAAGTCATGGTAATTTACTGAACAATAGGGATCCACTTGTCTATTCTGTGTTCAGTGGTATAGCAGCCCACAACTTTAAATGCTACTCATTTGGAATATTATTTTTAAGGGTAGTCCATTTGGTTAGTCCATTATGGTAGTCCATGGACTGGGGGTCAGTGTTTTGTCCATCACCCAACATTCATCCCCTCCCGGGATCTCATCCCCATGCAAAATGAGGACATTTTTCTCCAAACATGGGACACACTGGAGGGACTTGGTACAGCAGTGCTGGCCTGTTGATTAAAATGTTATGTTTCAGCTACTAAAATTGCATTTTTGACATTTCAGATTGTCATTTTTGCAAGAATGTCTTCCTTTCTTCTGGTATTCGTTTTCAATGCATTGATGCGGACATTATTTGTGAAGTCTCTGAGAGGATCGATGACTTAAGCTACGGCAACTGTGACAAATACAGGCTCAAACTTCATTTTCACTGTGAGTGCAGATATAAGTATGAGTACTGTAAGCCTCTCTAAAGTTTCAAAGATGACTTCATTATGGAGAACAAGTTCCGTAATTTTTGGGAAAATCTTAGTTGAAGCTTACTTAAAATTTGGGATTTTTAATCCAATCAGCTAATCACTCATGAGTTATCCTAAGTTGGTAAGGCCATAATCATGATGTGGTCAGTTGCTTGGCAACTTCTGGATTAATTTGAGTGTGGGGGACTGGAAAAAAGCAAGCACATGTTCCTCCTGTTAGCTGAGATTGAATTCTGTAAATTGACCAAATTAAGAAATAATGAGCTCCATTCTTTCCTTCAAATATGTTTGCCCTGGTTTGTGATTATATTTTTTGACAATGGAAAATAAAAGTGTTCAATCCAGAAAAGTTATGTAATTATATATGAATATGGGAAGAAAACACTTCTAAGTGCAGAACCCCCACACCTGATTTTGGGCTATCCCTGGGTTAAAAGCTGTCAAAGCTATTGATGGATCAAGTTATATGCCCACCTTTGTTGTATACCAAATTGCACTTGTTTGAACACAAATGTGAAAGATCAGTTCATCGCTCTGACAGCTGTTTGGAAAAGTTCACAGATGAAACACTGTGGAGAAAGCTCTGTAACTGCTTGACAATGTCACACCAACAAACTGAACTTGTGACTTTTGTTTTGATTTGTTGCTAAGTGATCTAATTATCTTCATCTCTTGAATTTCAAAACTTGTGATTAAATTGTTTCTGGTACACATGCACATGGGTGAAACGATCTTCTGTTGTAATTTTCCAGCAAACTCAGGAACAACAAAACATGGCTATTTTGTGTTATTCAATGCAACTCGAGTCTTTAGTGTCATAGGGAGCTCGACCAACAAGGAAATTCGGTTTCACTGTACAGGAGTTCTGATGGAGTCTCAGCCTACAGAGAAAGTTGTGTTCATTTGCATAAATTATCTGATCACTCCTGGCTACGCTATCACTCATTAATCACAGATGATCAACTAGTAACTCATTTGCATAAATCTCATCATCCCTACAACTCCTTCTAGCTAAGCTATAACTCGCTAAAAAGGAAGAAGGCTGCTTGGTTAGAGTTGAGTAGGTGACCCTCTCATAAGTACGAGTAACCAAATAACAGTCTATTTTTATATCTGATGTCCATGGTATACTATTTCAACTCATGCATTAAGATAAATGACTAATCATTGGTTGAGCTGGACACTGTTAGTGTTGAGACTTTAAGATGTATGTATTGAAATTTCATCAAACTACAGCATTTTGGATCATTTTATGTATGTATTTTTGGCATGTAATAAGCCAGTGAAACTACCACCAGGAAGAGAATGTGACTCAAAATTTAGACCCCTGTAATGTCATCTGTCATGAACAACAATCTCCAGTAACCAATCAACCAGGTCAGACACATTGCGTGGCCAGTCACAGGAACTTTGACTTTGCATGCCAGAACTCCAGTGCCAACCTCTTCAAATGATAGTACCGCAAGTTAGGAATTCTAAAGCTAATGATGCAATTTAAGCAATCAAGGACTTTAAAGGCTCCGTACTGAAAGAGCGTTATTTCTTGCAGGCCCTGTTGGGTTGCTTGCTGTTTGGCGAGACATTGTCTGCGAGATGGTGGTTAGGCACACCTCTAATTCTCACAGGATTGGTTTTGATTCATTATAACAGTGTATCCTTAACTGATGACCACCTTCATGACAAGAAAGAATAACTAACAAAGGCTTATGTTTGGTGGCAATGCAACCCCCACTGTATGAGTATAGAAGTGTATTAGGCCTGCACTGTTGGTATGAGAAGAGCAAAAAGGATTGTCTTTCTTGGTGGCCTATTGCCTTCACCAATCAGATACATGTATATTACATGATGGGTGGTATTCAGAGATATAGCAAGCTTTGTGCATGCCATCTGACAACTACAAAACTGTTTCCACCTACATGGCTTCCACACAAGAGTTTACATTTGTCGGTATCTCTGTTCAACAAGATCAAGTCACATTTGTTTGTGGTGTTGTGAAGCAGGTCACTGTGAAATCAAAGGTGACTGCCAAAACGGAAAGGTTTTTTATCAGCTTTCAGTTTCTTTCAAGGATCTGTTATAATGATTGTGCATCAAATCAGGAAAGCAACATCGTAATGTTGACATCCCAAGGGTGACATTTTGTAACTACTGCATTGTCTCTGTATCGTGTAAACACAACTCAATGTCATCTTCTAAAAGTGAGACTTGACAGCTTGAAGATTGAATTAAAAAAGGTTTCTTGGTACACTTGCCTCTACATTTTGAAGATATCCAAATCAAACCCCATGCACTAGATATAAGGACAGTCATAATAGACCATTTTACAGTTGTCTGCTCAGTGACCTGGCCTTTGTATGGCAGCGAGGCTAGAGTTGACCTTGTTTTGATACAGACCTCACTGCTTTTGTTGTGTAAAACAAGTTGTTCTGATGCTAAATAGGTGCATTTACATGACAAAAGCAGTGAGGTCTGTATCAAAACAAGGTCAACTCTAGCCTTGCTGCCATACAAAGGCCAGGTCACTGAGCAGACAACTGTAAAATGGTCTATTGACCACAAGAATTCTTGATTCATTTAAAGTGCTAGTGATACTGTTAAATTCAGGCCGTGACCAGTTTTATATTTTGAGACGTAAACTAAGGTGGTGCAAGGAAGGTTCTGATATGACAAGAGTTTGCGACAGCCTAGGTTGTCATAATTATGGGGAAAATACATCCTTTGTTTTGCTTTGCATATTTTAATTTTGTGTGACTTCTTACATGTATCTTCTTTTACATTCTCTTTAAGGTTCACTCTTTTCTATTTACTGCCTTGTTTTGTAAACATTGTTCTCCTTTATCGTGTATTTTTATATGGTTCTTCTTCTTGTTCATATATTTTCACCTTAGTCTTTACTTTTGTTATCACCTTTTTTTCCTTTGGAACCTTTTTTTTTAACATTTCGTGGGTGTAGCGTATGTTTAAATTTATTTGATTTCCTGTTGTAGTCCTCATCACTTTTACTGTCAGCCTCATCCTCACTATCGTACACGCAGTCCTCATCATTAACATCGTCACTTTCAATGTCATTATCATCACTATTATCACTTTCATTACTATCGTCACTTTTAATTCTATCATCGTCACTATCATTATCACTTTCATTACTAGAATCACTTTTATCATTATTCCCATTGTGTCCATTGTGATAAAGGTCTCCATTCATAACACCATTATCATCGTCATCGTCATCAAATTTATCAGTATTGTTGTTCCAACTACGGTGTTCATTAAGGTCATTGTTACTGTCTTTGTCAGTAGTTTTATCTTGCTCCATAACCTCTCCAGAGCTTCCAAAACTCTCTTGTGTTAAGGAAGTGTCCCCTCCACACCAATCTCTTATAATCTCTCTTGTTGTAGCACCTAACTGAAACATATTTTTATCATAATGGTGAAAATTAGTGTTATTCTCGCTGTCACTTGTATCCGTGTTTTCTGTAGTTTCTATATCATAAGTTTCAATGCAATTATCCTGTGTACCTGGAGTTGAATCCGTGGTCACGTTTTGGGCCTTCAATGCAGACAGTTCAGTGATTTGTGTTGCATGACAATCTGACAAATTCTCTTTTGTTACGCAAATGTCTATGTCCAATGCCTCCCACTGTATTGGTGTAGTAATGGACGTTCTTTTTTTTGTCACTTAAAGTGATGCAATCTTCTTTAAGGCTTTCAATCTCTACAGAATTCAGCTCATCAACCACAGAATCATGTGTTTCTACCCTCACGTGATCTCTATTAAACACATTTCCCTTGAGCTCAATTGCACTGTCAGAGTCATCCTCAGCAGTATAAATTTCTAACTTATTCAAACTGGATCTTCCATTTGCTTTTTTATCTTGGATATTACCACATCTTCTTTGGATTTTCTTGGGTATTGGTTTAAAATATTCTTCTATTCTTCTCATTTTAATGATTTCCCCATGAAAGGACTTTCTGTCGCTTGAATTGATTCATCGTTTTCTTGATTTCTTTTGTGGTATTTGCGATGGGTTCTTTTCTGTGCTTTTTATTTGTGATTTGGATGAAGATAAGGTCGTAAAGTTTCTGGTCGCTTTTCTCCGGGTTTGCTTTGAACCCTGGGAAGATGGTGCGTCTGTATCCTCTTTATCCCTCGTGCATTTTGTGGCATTGTGTGATGTCACACAGGAACTGTCACGCATCTTAATTCCCCGAGCTACATTTCTGGTGTTTAAGGAAGCCTGTAAATCTCTCAATAGGCCCCGCAAATTGTGATCTGGATCAAACAGATCTGTCAGCAGGACCTCGAAAGCAACGCATTTTTGGTCATTAAAATTACATCGAATGAACGGCTGTCTGTCAATTTCGGCTCGGTAATTGGCTTCATTAAACTCTCCAGATTCTTTTAAACTTTTGCCAACGGATGCCATCTGTTGTACAAGCTCGTGAATTTCTCCCGGTTCGAGAATAATACGTCCTGAGGTTTCAATGTCTTCAGAAAGGAACATTTATGTCAAAAAGTAAATAAAGTCAAATTGCATGCTTTCATCAAACGTGATACTCTCCCAGAAGTGTATGTTGGAATGGTTCTTGAGTTTTTCTCTCAAAACACTTGTCGTACATCCTGCGAGAGAAAAATGAATCACCCACGCCGATAAAAAATCTTCTTCTTCTGTTGTTGTCTCGTTGATCATCTAGAAAAGAAAAATTAAACAATTCATTTGAAAGACTCTAAAAAGTGTTCTCGTGGTTTGCGACAAACGGCGCGCGAGTAACGAGATTCACGCGCACGATATTTTGGCATCGTATTATTTCGCTTTCTTTCACTTCTGGGAAGATTCATGTTTATGAAACGGCAACCGCTGCAAGGTAATTATTTCAATAACAGTCTCAAATGTATATACTATTTTCTCGTTCAAATGAGTCAATGATTTGTTATTATTGATTGTGGGTTGACAAAGGAGATAGTCAGCTTGGCCTTTTCTAACATAACTCATTTTAGGTCTTTAAGAAATTCCTGCAACGATGCAGGGGAATATGAATGTTCGCGGCACGTGATTTCCGACACTCTTGGGAAAAACTTGAAGGATTTCTTTTTCAGTTGTCTCAGTCTCAGGGTATCTTTGGACCATCCTAAATTTGCAGTTGCCACATTTCAAGCCCAAGGGAAATAGCGATTGGTGAACGGCCGGAGTATTTTGCAAAACGCCGAACGTCAAGTGAAGAAGGTCGCAGAACGCCAAATGCAAATGCAGTTTGTTTCACTAATGTTTGCTTGCGGTTAGTTTTGATTTGTTGGAAAGGACAGCATTATCTTGTATTTAGTCCTTTTCAACAAATAAAAGCTAACGCGAGCAAACATGAATGAACTAACCGCAAGAAAACAGTGCATTCGGCGTTCTGCAAAATACCCACGCCTGGAGCTTTACGCGTGACCAATGGCGTGTTAAGATTCAAATTAGCGCCAGTTTCAACAGACAAAATCCGTCGAAACCTTCCACCACGGACGAAAGACAGCCCAGTATTTACTTCAGTTCCTTCATTTGACAGTTTAACGTATCTCCGTAAAACATGCAGGATTTAGCTTAGCAAAATGCGCAAATCTTGTCTGCCCGTAACATAGGTAAATTATGTATTTGACCTGGCTG